CTACGTTTTAATGCTGTCTGTGAAAATGTTTTGAGACAAAAATGACTTTAGTAATTCATCATTATTAATAATTTCACATGTTTAGAAATTTTTGAAATGGGTTCATTTTTAAGTGATAAGCTTGTATTAACATTGTCCAGTCTATACGGTTTCAACAAAATCACAAACTATAGTTACTTTCATCGTGAGTCTGAGGCAAATAAAAAAGAATGTTCGTTTTTAACGCTGTCATTTCATCATTTGAAACAAATCAAATGTAAAATACTAAAGAATCTCTGGTAACCGAACATCAGAAAAACGCTAAACATTTGAAACAATGAAGGTACTCAAATAATTGTCGACTGCATTCTTGGTAATCAAACTTGAAAACCATGCAGCACTTATTTCAATAGACTGCTGTCGATGACAATAAAAGAATAGTAATGCGCTAAATATTAACATAAGAAACAAAACATAAACACAAAACAGATTTCAAGGATTTAAAATGAATTTTAACTGTAATATACAAATAATTCATTGTTAAAATACTGTTGCCAACTTTTTAACTCAATATTTTACGCATTTTGATATGTAAAGCTTCAAATTAAGAACTACGTAATGAACACTTACTTAAAATCTACCATGACAAAAATTAAATCACGTAAAAAAATGATGAGAACAACATTAAAACCCTATCCTTAACATCAAAAACTATAAAAGAAAAATAAGAATCACGTTGCCTTTAATGACGTGTTATATATAGAACAGACTGCTTAGCCAATAGACACCTAGTTATTTGGAGCACGCAAAATGGGACAATGCGTATATGTACGTGTCGTTACTGCGTATATTCATTTGTGCATCAAGGTTGTATGTGTATTTGTAAACCCATGTTGTATGTGTATTTATATACCTTGGTTGTATGTGTATTTTGTGTACGTGTTACGCAGACACGTGAGCGTGTAGCATACGTTTGTCTAATGTGTTTTGCGTATTCTGCACGTTCATTGCGTGCGCATGTTTACGTGCGAAAACTTGTCGTCGGATAAAAATTCTATTTATAATTTTTTTTTTTTTTTTTGAAAAAATAAACTCTTTGGACCAGTTTGGTTTAGTCCAGCGTCTTGATGATTCATGAAGAACTGTGATATAATTCTCCATAGTCGTGCATTTTTCCATTTTTTTTTGCACCAGAAACCGACTTCTTCTCTATAGGTAGCGTCACATTTTAAAAACAAAAACTTACTCAATAATTGTAAGACACGTGTTCAGATTCAATAGGGACTGACTTCAAGAGAACCTGCAACTGTGTGATGTGTGTATCCCATAATCTGAGAGTATGTATCCCGAAATGTGACTGTGAGTGTATCCCAACATCTGAGTGTTGTATCCCGGAATGTGAATGTATCCCAAAATCTGCGTGCTAGTATCCAAGAATCTGTGTGTATAATTCTAGCACGTGAGTATATGTATCCAGGATTATGAGTGCATAGCTATGTGCATATCTCACTTTTACGCAAGCATATTTCACCCAAATCGAAACATTTCATACAAAGATTTGAAACAAACTTCAATCAAACTCATTTTATTCTCCATTTATGTTACAATATAGTAATTTCTATAATAATAAGAATGATATTAACCGAAAAATAGTAAAGGAAACATAATGATCTATATAATATATATATATTTATATATATATTTATATATGTATATATAGCTTATTGAAACGCAAAATAAACAATTACAGTATTATACAAGATGAAATTTGAAATGCAAGCAAAAAATAATAACAACAGTAACAATAACAACAACAATATAATAATAATTTTACTAATAATAATTAGAACAACAATAATAATAATAATGGCAATAATCAAAATAGGATTTAATAATAATGATAACAAAACGAGTTATATATATATATATATATATATATAATATGAAATACACATGTGTATATATACATATCCTTTTAAACCTAAATAAAAATTAATGATTATCATTGTCTTTTTCATTTTATTCACTTTTTCAATAACACCTCTATTATTATTATTAATAAAAAGTTTTTAATGCTTATTAATTAATTAATTAGCTATAATAAATATTACATTATTAGGTAAATATGCTGTATTAATTAGCACTAAATAACTAATAAAAAGAATAAAAATATTTTCCAAGGGCATTTAAAAAAATAGAGATATTTATTTCCAAAGCAAAATTTAGACAAGGCCCTTCCACTGAGATTTTTTCAACTCTCTTCTCATTTGCAAATGAACCATCCTTTCGTTTTTCAACATTCCACGTAAGACTAACTAACCAACCAATCAACCAATCACCAACCAACTAACCAGCCAATCACCAACCAACTAACCACTTGACAATTCAATAAAATAATACGTTGTGAAAAGTTTCATATTATCGCCAGTAGATTAGTTCAGTTATGAATCACTAAATAAAAAGTAAAAAACATAAATTATTCTCACTTACTCACTCTCTATCTTTCTTAGTTCCAATCTCTCTCTTATTTCCCAAATTCTGTCTTCCTCTCTCCCTTCTCTCTTCTTTTATCTCTTTTCTTTTTTCTATCTCTTGTTAGAAGAAACACGAAACTGATATATACAAATAAGTAGCATACATTCACACAAACATCCACACATACATACACAAACACAATCACACACACACACAAACACACACACATCTACACGTACGCTATCAAGCTACAGACAAACGAGCAAACACCAACGCAGTCAAACACACTATTAGGTAAAACTATACGTAGGTTAAGTACTTTTAGAGTGCAATTTAATTTAGGGTAAGTTAATCTATAAATATACCAATGATTAAGTAACATTACATGACCATGTTACCATTACTACAACATATACAGATGACATTACAATAGGTAAAACTCTAGAAAAATTACAGGACTTATTTTACGTGACATTACGTTAAGATTGCATTCCACTTAGAGTTACATTGAATAACATTGCATTACCACGTTACACAATATTAATAACGATTATATTAAATTACATAAGACTACATTAACTGAAGATTACATTACATTACAGTGTCACCACGTGACGTCACCACATAGTGTAACATTATTACATCAAGTAAAGTCTAGTGTTATTAACGTAAAATTACCATAGATCACATCATTACATTAAGTAAATTGAAATATTTTTAACGTAATATTATTATTATTATTACAATAGAAGGTTGTCTCATTACATAACCCCTACAATATAAAAAAAACTTTATATTGGTTCTTAAAAAAACCTTTATATATATATATATATGTATGTATATATATATATATATATATATATATATATATATATATATATATATATATATATATATATTCTGATATATTCCGTTGCTAATTCTGATAGATTGATTGAACCGGTGGGTGTGAAGACGATGATTGACTGAATGAAAGAAAAAAAAATGAGAAAAAAAATAATAAATGTAAGATTGAGAAACTGGATGAACGACGCACGAATGAATGAATGAATGAATGAGCGAAAGAACGAAGAAAACAATAAACGAATGAAAATTTAAATAACCGAAGGTAGAAATTCGTAACGAAAGGACAATGTTGAAATGGCAACAAAGACGAAATGTACACGAAGAAAAAAAAACTTGAAAAAAATGTTTCCATTACGTTGCTATAAAATAAAGTTGAAAAGATGTTAATGAGTGATGGAGGAAACGAATAAATGAAAGAATGAATAAATAAATGAATGGAACGAATGAATCAATGAATGAAGGTGGAAAGATCCACAGGCAGGCAGGTCAGAATGGTTAACAAATGAATGAATAATTGAATGAATACAACTCGATGGATGAATGAGTAGAAGAGTGAATGAACGAACGGAGGAAATAATTACAAAAAGTTGAATGAATGAGTGAAGAAACAATTGAATAGAGGAAATGAATGTACAAAAATGAACGATCGAATGACTGAATGAATGAGAGATTGGACGAATAAAAGAACTAAAGAACGAAAGAATGACCAGAATGATAAGCTGATAATAAATGGACAGACGAGATAATTGCATGAAAGAAAAAAAAAACGAATGAATGAACAACAAAGAATGAATGATGGATCCAAAACACACACACACAATACTTGCACATCGTAAAGCGTAAATTAAGTAAGGAAAGCATTCAACATGGCTTAGATTTCCATAGACTGGATTAACAAGGACAAACGTCATCAGCAACAAAAGGAAATAAAATAGCAACAACAATAACAATGAGGGTGGAAAAATTATAAAATGTGCAGTAGTGGCAAATGTGTTTGCTTGTATAACACGGAACCAACCACTCATTCATTCAATCATTCATTCAATCATTCTTCACTATCAAGTAAAGATTTCAATAATTTAATTATTCTTTTACCTTCATTCATTCATTCATTCATTCATTCATTCATTCATTCATTCATTCATTCATTCATTCATTCATTCATTCATTCATTCATTCATAAGTTCTTCATTCTTTCAATTCATTCATTCATTTTGGCGGAGAAAAATCAAAAAATCAGTAAAAGAAAAAAAACAAACGAGCCAATCTCAATCGATCATTCCAAAGACCAGCCAAATAATAACAGCAGCCAACTTTTCATTGGTAACAGATAAATCAATTGAAACAAATCGAAGCCGAATAAGAAATATAACAATTGTTGAATCAATCGTAAAACATGTACATTTATATACAAATATGTATATATATATATACATATATATTTTTACAATATTCAATAAATTCTATCGAATGTTTGGTGTTAATATGTTTGTAGTTCGTTTAACTACAAACATATTAACGCCAAACATTTGGTAGAATTGATAGAATATTGTGAAAATTATGGTATTTTACCAAAATATACATATATATACACCAATGTTTTCCAATCCTTTTTAAACCCCAGCCCCCTTAACTCCAGGTAAAAATGAACCCTCCTAAAAATTACGTAACACATGTATCTTAATTTTAGTCTAAAAACTTCACTGTACTGTGGTGAAACCTAATTTAGTGGTGGTCTTGATAGCTAGGATAACTAAAATAGTAGTAGTAGTAGCAGCTAGTTAGTCGGAATTAATTTAGGTTTAGTATGAAGTATCGGGGAAAAAAGTAGCAAGTTATCACCTTCTATCGTTCTAACGCTCAACAGTTTACCTTACAATATATTTTATCAAATGTCAGAGGACCACACACACACACACACACACACACACACAAACACAAACACACACACAGTACTTTTGAATCACACGCATCAGAACATTTCCAATTGGCTCCATCATGGGAAAAGGGCTCTATACATATATATAACTATTGAAAATAATAACCAGTAAACTTTTATAAATAGTAATTAATTAATCAATTAAGCAATCAAAACGAAAAATATAAATAATAATAATAATGTAAATAATGAACAGAAAAACATATATGTATACATACATACATATAAATATATATGTATATATATATATATACATATTTGTAATATATACATACATATTTTATATAATATATACACATACATATAATTTTTATTGCATAAATTCTATGTTTGAAATAAATAAATATTAACGTAAGCAAAAGAATCAAATGAACATGTTTTTTTATAAGAGCCTCACGATCATCATCATCATCCATCTCATCACCATCATCAACATCTTCATAATCACTAATCACCATCGTACAGACAGCAAAAAATCAAATAGTCAATCAAAGACTGGACAAAAAGCGATCTTGACCAACCAACTGACCAACCAATTAACCAACTGACCAACCAATTAACCAACTGACCAACCAATTAAACAACTGACCTACCAATTAACCAACTGACCTACAAATTAACCAACTGACCAACCTACCAACCAAGCAATTCAATCAACAAGCAAAAGACCCAATAAATTAAAAACTAAATTGTTTCTGCATTTCATCAACGCCACAATCGCCACTACCGCCGCCGCCAACGTTACCGCTACTATTATCATCACTAATACTACATATATCGATATTATTGATAACATTATTATTATAATTGTTGTTGTTGTTATTATTATTAGCGGCCCCACCTAAGTTGTCAGGGGCCATAAAATGAAACTGGTTCTCGTGGATGTCGAAGTGGGGTTGTGCCACGTTGGGGTCGTCGTCTTCGCTGCCGAAGTATCGCTCGATCATGGTGAAGGCTTTCAGGTAGATCTCCTGATTCTCGTGGTTCTGTAGGAATTCTATTTTGTCCAAGCCTGTAGGTGCGCGTGTATGCATTCTTGTATGTGTGTTTGCATGTGTGTGTGTGATTGTATGTGTGTGTGATTGTATGTGCGTGTGTGTGATTGTATGTGTGTGTGTGTTTGTATGTGTGTGGTTGCATGTGTGTGCGATTGTATGTGTGTGTGTGTTTGTATGTGTGGCGTTTGTATGTAATTGTATTTGTATGTATCTACAAATATATATATTGGTAAGGGCCAAACATAGGAAGTATGTGAAGAATGTGAAGGTGATACCTGGTATGTTGCAGCATAGTATGGTTGTGATGGATGTGACATCAAAAGAAATGGGGAGGAGGAAGAAGGATAAGTTTGTGGCAAAGAGAAAGACATGGAAGTTGCAGGATGCAGAGGTGAGGAAGGCATTTGAAGTGAAGGTGGCTGAAAATTGGGAGAGTGGTAAGGATGGAGATGTTTGGGAGAGATACAGGGACTGTGTGTTGGCTACGACAGATAAAGTATGTGGATGGACGAAAGGAAAGTGTAGGCATGGTGAGACGTGGTGGTGGGATGAAGATATAAGAAGGATTTTGGAGGTCAAGAAGGAGAGGTTTAGGGTATGGAGAAGGGACATGACGGAGGAAGCGGAGTTTGAGTATAGGAAGGCTAAGAAGGTTACAAAACAGGCAGTGGCAACTGCAATGACGAAAGCATCAGATAGGTTAATGAAGGAAATGGAATTTGATGTGAGTTCGAGGAAAATGTTCAAAGTAGCAAAGCAGTCAATGAGGGATAGGAAAGATGTTATAGGGAATAGATGTGTTTGAGATGGGATGGATCTGGCAAGTTGTGCATAGATGAGGAGGAAAAAGCTCAGGTGTGGAAAGCTCATATGGAAAGGTTGATGAATGAAGAGAATGAGTGGGATGGAGATGTGGAATCCGCGGTCACACACGGACCTATAGAGAAGGTGACGATGGAGGAAGTAGAGAAAGCAGTTAGAGAAATGAAACTAGGTAAGGCGACAGGGGTTTCGGAAGTGGCGGTAGAACATATAAAAGCGAGTGGGGTGATAGGAATTGAAGTTATGATGAGAATTGCTAACAGTATGTTGGATGATGAAGGTATACCTGAGAATTGGCGACACAATATGTTGGTGCCGGTGTATAAGGGCAAAGGAGATGTGAGAGATTGTGGGTCATATAGGGGTGTGAAATTGCTAGAACACGGAATGAAGGTAGTGGAGAGGGTGCTTGAGAGGAGGTTGAGAAATATGGTGACAGTTAATGAAATGCAGTGTGGGTTTATGCCTGGTAGGGGAACGGTGGATGCGTTGTTCATGGTGAAAATGTTGCAGGAGAATTATAGAAAGAAGAAACGAAGATTGTACATGTGTTTTGTGGATCTAGAAAAGGCTTTTGATCGAGTACCGAGGAAGGTCATTTAATGGGCGTTGAGGAAGAAAGGAGTGAATGAGAGACTTGTTAAAGCTGTGATGCAGCTGTATGAAGGGGCAAAGACAAAGGTGAGGGTTGGAAGGGGGATGTCGGACGCTTTTAGTGTTAAGGTAGGAGTGCATCAAGGATCAGTGTTATCACCGTTTCTGTTTGTAATTGTGATGGATGTTGTGTGTGGAAACATAATGGAGGGGTTGTTATTTGAGATTTTGTATGCAGATGGCTGATAGCATGGAAGAATTGCAGTTAAAATTTGACAGATGGAAAAGTGTTATTGAAAAGAAAGGGTTAAAAGTTAATATTGGTAAGACGAAGAAGGTAATGGTGAGTGGGGAAGGTGGGGAGCGAGTGATAAGTAAAATAGACCCCTGTGGGGTATGAGACAGGAGAGTGAAGGCTAACTCGGTATTGTGTATAGGATGTCAGAAATGGGTGCATAAGAGATGTAGTGGTGTGAGAGGGGCACGTTCAAATGTAAGAAATGTGTTCATGGTGTGATTAATAGGACGGACGCAAGGACGGGGTTGAGTAGTGGTATTGAAAGAGTGGAAAGCTTTGTTTACTTAGGGGATAAGCTGAACGCGGATGGAGGATGTTTGAGCGCAGTTACGGCTAGAGTTCGTGTAGGATGGATGAAATTTAGGGAACTGGGTGGGGTATTGTGTGGAAAGAAATGGTCAGTGAAGATGAAAGGAAGGGTATATAAAGCATGTGTGAGAGCAGCGATGGTATATGGTGGTGAAACTTGGGTGTTGAGGAGAGAGGAGGAAAGTGTACTGCAGAGGGCTGAAAGAGCTATGGTGAGGACGATGTGTGGGGTTAAAGTGAAGGATAGGAGGAGTAGTACAGAGCTGATGTCGATGATGGGACTGAATGAGGACATTGTGACATTGATAAGGAGATCGAGATTGCGGTGGTATGGGCATGTGTTGAGAAGGGATGAAAGGGTCGGGATTAGGCGAGCGTTGGAGTTTAAGGTTGAAGGAGTGGTAGGAAGGGGTCGTCCACGATTGGGATGGAGAGAGCAGGTGGAGAAGGACAGGGTGAAAGCGGGGTTGCGTGATACTGAGGCGAGTGACAGATGTGGATGGCGTCGAGGGGTATTTCGGTTTCATCATAGGTAGCCAAACGGCAACCCCCGATCTCGGGAAAAATGTCGTCTAAACGTGTGTTGTTGTTGTTGTATGTATCTACAAATCGACATTTTTTTCATTATTTTTAATGAAAACCCTGATCGAAACTAACCGTAGCATTCCTCGATGAGGACGGGGTAGACGTGAGTTGTACCTCTCTGCTTGGCCTCCAGGTCGCCTGCCTTCAATATGTGCTCCAGACCGTTGAGTGCCAGCTGTTTCGGTGTTATCAACAAGATGAGATGAGATCACTTTTTAAGTATGGAAATATGGATCTAGTAGGTTATATAATATCATTAAAATTTAATGTAATTATTAATGTAAATGTAAATTATAAATGTAATTATTAAATTAATGTAGTTTAGTGCCAGAGTCGTACAAGACCTGAATGATCTTGGTATCGACGACGCCGAGCAGATCGCAGAGGGGAGGGATGCATCCGAGGTTGACGAGGTATTGGATCTGCTCGAAGGAGCCTCCGGATGCTGCGTTCGTTATGGCCCATGCAGCCTCCTTGCGGGTTTTAAACTCTGCCTTGCTCATGATTTGGATGAGGATAGGAAAGATATTGGCCTCAATTACAGCCTGTTTGTTGTGATCGTTATCTTCGTGCATTGTTGTCTCGTGTATAGTGAATGAATCAAATCAATATAAAATTATTCAATGTAAATTTTTATTCAAAATAAAAAAAACTAAAAACTCAATATTTGGCACAGATACGCCAATTTAATTTAAAAAAATAGCCACCTACCTTATTTATTCAAACTCAAACTAACCAACGAACCAACCAGCCAACTAAACAACCAACGAACCTGTATTTGATTTCGATTGCCAGCAGTGATGTTGCTGATGGTCCAGCAGACCTCCTTCCTGATGCTTTCCTTGCTGGAGCCAAGCAGGTGGATGAGCGAGGGCAGGACCGAACAGTTGAGGACGAGTTGGGTCTGCACGTCGTCGCCCGTCACAATGTTGCCCACTGCTCTCAGAGCTGCACTGACCACTCCTTGCGATGTGTGACTGATAGTGTACGTGTGTGTGTAGTTAGTTAGTTAGGTGTGTGAGTGTGTGTGCTTTGTTAGAGATGTGTGTGTGTGTGATTAGTTAGGCAATGCGCGCGCGCGCGTGTGTGTGTGTGATTAGGTGTGCATGTGTTGCTTTTTTGTGTAGATTGAAACTTATCGTGTGTGTTGTGTGCAGATTATTTATTAAGCGTGTAAATTGTGAATTGTGGGAGTGTGGAATGTGTTATTCTCAGACGCAAATGAATAGCACTTTAACAAATAATGCCAGAAGTACACATATTTCATCTCTTCATTGGCTGAGTAAAAAAAGTCTGGTAATCATTAGTTAAGTGTGCAAGGTGAATTAAATAACATACTAAGTTTTCAAATCTAAATAAATCAAAAAATTTAGAGTACAAGACATTTTTAAAAAAAGATGCATTTCAGAAACTAAATGAATAAATATATGCGTATATAAGATGATATAACTAGCCTAACATTATTTATAACAAACATATCTTATATGACGCGCATGTAGCTGATCGATAAACACTAAAATATATATAAAGTCGTATGAAAAATATCCAAATCCGGTTTCTCAAAAAACTCCGGCTGACTTTGGCAAAGATCTGTGACTCTGAAAAAAAAAAAATTATAAAAAGTACCAGAAAAAAGAACTAACGCAAGTAGCTCGACCAATCTTCTGACGACACCCGCCTCGATGACTGCCTGTATCTTTTCGTTGGGTCCGTCGGACAGATAGGAGAGGGCCCAGCAAGCATCAGCCAGTACATCGTGGTCGGTGTTGAAGAGTAGTCGAGCGAGCAGTGGTAGGGCCGTGGACACCTGATCAGTTTGTTTGTCGTGGTGGTAGAAAAGAAAATGAAATGATATATAAGAGAGGACATGAAATATATACTCATGTAACTATAAATAATATATTATAGAAACAATCACACAAAAACACGCATATAAAAGACAGCCAAACGAAAAAGAAAATAAAATTCTGTGAAAAAAGTAAAATTTTGGTGGGAAAAGGATGGAATGGTTAAGGTGTCTAGCAACCATTAGAAAGAGGACCAACCACTACAAAGAGGACCAACCATCACAGAAAAAAAAACAAAAAAAGGGCAACATACCTTAGTGAAGTCAGGGGGCGGGTTTTTTCCTCTGCAGAGATTGGACAGACACCAAACTGCATTTCGTAACATCGACATTTTTGTCGTCGTGCCAAGCAAGCTGTTAAAATTTCACGCCCATTTATTCACAAATTTGAGTTATTACCATCATATACTCAAGAAACACAGTCGTGATTGTGAGCATTGCAGTTGTCACTATATCAACACCACCGTCGGAGCAACCATCTCTCAACCATCTCTCAACCACTACACAACCATCACGCAACCAACATGCAACCATCTCTCAACCAACATGCAACCATCTCTCAACTAACTGCAACAAGTGATATAGAATTCCCTCCATGATAACATAATCCCTACATTCTGGACTGTCTCCTGCTACGTTCCCGAGAGCCCACACCGCCTATAATAATAATAATAATAACAAATACATTAATATTAATACAATAATAATATCATTAGAGGTATCATTAAAAACAATAATAAAAAAAAGTAGATGATGATATATGAAGAGTTATAAAACTGAAAAATGTTTGCAGGTTAGAAAAACAAATAACAGAACACACACGCACGCACACAAACATAACAACACATCATACAGACAAACATACACATACGTTCAAACACACACACACACACGCACAAAATAGTTAACCTGTTCTTGTACGTCTTCATGTGGAGAGTTTAACAATTGGATGAATACAGGTACAGCCCCACTTTCGATGACCGCTCTTGTCTGATTGGACGAACCTGATGCTATGTTCGTGAGGGCCCAGGCCGCTTCGAACTGAATATAATTTATAATAATTATAATTATTATAAATTATATTTAAATAATTATAATAATTTATAATAATTGTATTTATTTTGTGATTATTAAAATAATAATTATATAATAATTTATAATAATGATGACGATGGTAGATGAATCTATAACGGTAAATAATTGCAGTAAGTGAATTTAACTTTTCAGTTTTAACAATTTGACTAACTACGGTTAGCATATAATCTCAGTGAAAGATGTTTTTACGATAGATGAAAATAGCACATGGCAATTATTAAAGAAAATGGCGCTGTTTAAATTCATCATGCAATTATGTCAGTAAACAACAGAATGTTTCCTCAAAAAAGGCTTTGAATTATTGAAATATTCTTGAAATATTGCAAGAGCAATTTAACAAATTTAAAAATTCCTAGATGTTCTTAACACAAATACATCAATAATATCAACTCATTACAGCTGTCAGATTATGCTTCTAATAAATCACACATGAAAAGAAGTTCATATGTCAATATTTTAATTGCAATGGCTGCGATTTTGTCTTTAACAAAACAACCAAGGAAAATGCCAAATGTTAATTTAATTAAACTTTATTGGGGTATATTGATGAGGATTTAAAAAAAAACAAACAACAATAACAATAATATAAACCTGTAATGCAGAGTTGTTGTGTGTTTGTAGTAGTTGGACAAACCTCGGTACGATACCTGCCCCGATGACCGTATCAATCGGTGGGTTGGGCTCTGGTGGCGTGAAAGTAGGTAGGCAAAACTCATTACAACTAATTAATTGGTTAATTGATTAATAAATTAGAAAATCATTTAATGTAATATTAAATGTATAGCTAGTTAACTGAGTATGTAGCTAACAGAAAAGAATTACTACAGGTTTGCATCAGAATTAATACATATTTACATTGGAATACAATAGAGAATGTTGAGTAAGGAGATTTGGTTATAATTGAATGTGAAAATCAAACTATAATATAAATAACAATTACAAAAAGAATAATAACAAATAAAAAATTAAATATAAGCAATAGGTAGAGAATGTTTCTATAGCGACCTTTTGATAATAATTTCCGAAACTTTTGCGTAGCATCCAGTTGTTGTTCTTGGTCTTCACTGAACAACAACTTCAACATGTCTTCTGTTATCGTGTTCTGGCACGGGGGATGATTAGGAATGTCAATCAAATTAGATATTAGATTACTATTCCAAATTAAGTCAAACAAAAAAAATGTAATAATAAAATGACACTAATTATGTGAAAACAAAGAATGAAACTTATTTATTTGATTGAATTAGTAGTAAATATAAATTTGAAAAAAAAATTAAGATAGTAATTAGTTAGGAACTGACTGTGAAGTTGGAAGTGATGTGTGCCTCTTGAACAGGAGAAATGTTGTCCTCAGGTACGATGTCTACATTACGTTTCTTGAAAATCTGTTTCAGTTCCATTTGTTAACGTTGATTTATGACAATATTTTAAAAGATTATATGGTGCATAAAATTATTTACTTATAATTATATATAAAGAATACTTAATAAAGATATTTTTAAAATAATTAAAAAAGAGAAGATAAGAAGTAAAAATTTAAATAAAAATCAAAATGCCCAACCAACCAACTGATCTTTCTTCTGTTTTCTGAGTTGGAGTCCTTCCTCTTCTCTTCCTCTCCTCAACAACTCCACATCTCTCCCTTTGTACTTGTAGGCTTTCAATCTATTGCTTCCTGATGTACTGACATCTGATTCATCCATTTCTTCCTCTTCTTGGCTGAACCCAGAAATTAGTAAGAGTCGTAATTAATAAGTCTCTGATCCAACAAAATCAACAACAAATTTTTACCTGCAGTGGTTGAAGGTTTTAAATTTTTTTAAAGGATTTTATTAATTTTAATTAACATGATAGTATATTGTTTTATCATTTTAAGAATTATTTAATAAAAGCGACAAATAACAAAAAAAATAAAGTTCGGTGTGGAGTAAGTGAAAGAAGATGTCATATTTGTAAACTTTTAGGAAGAAACAGAACATTTGTTTGGTTCTTTATAAAAAAAACTTGAATTAAAACTTATTTTAAAGGCCAATTAGAGATAAAACATATTATCGCTCAGGCTTGAAACCTATATAACAAGATCATGAAAATAGGAAATAAGTTATTATTTTGATTAAATTTAAAAAATTAAATAATATTTGGAATAAAAACAAACAGTAAAAAAAGCAAACTTTTGAGCTAAATACTAACTAAAGTAAAGAATGTTCAACAGACAAGCGGATCACGCATGCGCAAAATACATTGACTGAAAAAAAATTCTAACGTCGTAGTTAATCTTGAACTTGTTCTAATCTACATATATCGTTTTAATACATATACTTAGAATATATTTATATTTAGCTTTTTATTTGTCATACATACTTAAATAGAAATTATTTTTTTCATCTAAATTAACTTTCGTGACTGTTTAAAAATTGATATTTGAGAAGGTTATGATTGAATATAATTAACAAGTAAACATATAACAACTTGAAACATTTCATTAATTTTTGAAGTCTACGATTGATTCATACACTTATTAAAACGGTTTCATCGTAATAATTTCAGAACTTTTTAACATTAATTACAGTTTTCTGCATAATTCAATACCTTTATCCCCATTCAGTCCAGTCAATTTAACAAATAAATGTTTATCTATATTTAATTTATTATATTTCAGATTCAGCATTTGCTTAATCATAGAATTGGCAAAATCCGAAAGTTATGAAATAAGATTAGAATGTATTGACGTCGCCATGTCTTGGTCAGTTGCGGTCAGCTGATGCAAGCTACATATCGCTATTATTTGTTATCTTTGCCGGTTGTAAAGTCGTCGGGTTGAAATTTACTTTTAAATTTTTTTCAAGGATTTTTTTTTATTGTTATAAATCTCAAAGTTCACTAGTTTTAAATTTTAAGTTTTTAATTATGCAACTTTAGCGTAAATAAAAAAAAAAAATAACGTTATAGATATTTAGAGTGCGTTTTTGTAGTATAGATAAAAATGGCGAATGGTTTTGTCTTTGATATTGAACTAAATGAAGAGGAGCATGAGGATGGCCATAAGAAAAAGAGAAGAGATTCGGATTCGGCGGATGAAATTTCTGACGAGGAGCCACTAAACGTTGGGGACGACAAAGTTCTGGTAATCTCGTACTTTACCGCCATTCAGTTTTATTTCTAGATGCATAAAGGACTGGGTGATCACTGATCATGCATATAATATCAAAATATT